TGTGAACACACCGTGTATTTAGAGTGTATCCTGTTGTAATGACCCGATCAGTCATTTTGCATTCTAGATCCCCGTTCCCCTAATTAAGACTTCCCGTATATACTTTTACTATTTTATGACTTGCGGGGACGGTTAGTTTGGGTTTGGAAGGGTTCGGTTGAAATCGGAACACTTAGTTCACTAATATTGGCTTAAAAGGGTTAAGTTTGACTTGGGTCAACATTTATAGTAAACGACCTTAGAACCGGGATTTGACGGTTCCAATAGGTTCGTATGATGATTTTAGAGTTCGGATCGGGTTTTGGATGACCCGGGAGCGTTTCGGCACTTAATATTGAAAGTTGGCACATTGAAGGTTTTTCAAGTTCTTTAAATTGAGTTTGGAGTATATTTTGGTGTTATCGAGGTCCGTTTGGGATTTCAAGCCCAGGAATAATTCCGTACGGTTATCTAAGATTTGCACGCAAAATTTGGTGTCATTCCGAATAGTCTAAGTATGATTCGGCGCGTTCGGAGTAAGTTGGAAGAACTTGAAGTTCATAAGATGATTCGATTTGGTTTGGGGTGCAATTCTTCGTTTTGATATTGTTTTACGCATTCCGAGGGTTCAAGCGAGTCCGTTTTATGTATACTAACTTGTTGGTATGTTTGGGCGAGGCCCCGGTGGCCTCGGGTGCTATTTGGACGATGCGCGGACCAAGTTTGGACTTGAAAGAACTGCTGGTGCACCAGTTCTGGTGCGTCCGCATCTGCGAGATCTTGGCCGCAAGTGTAAGATTTTGATTGCATAGGCGGCCTGGGACCAGTGGTCTGTGGCCCGCAAAAGCAGAGAAAGTTCCGTAGAAGCGGCCTCGCTTCTGCGATGAAAGGGCCGCAAGTGCGAGAAGAGGCTGGCCAGGTCTAGATCGCAGGTGCGAAGCAGCTTCCGCAGGAGCGGGTCCGCAGAAGCGGGAGCCCATCCGCAGAAGAAAAGGCAGGTGGCCTGGGCTAGGACCGTACCTGCAATGGATTTTCCGCAGGTGCGACGCCCCAGATGCGCTCCAGGATCCGCAGAAGCGAAAATCGTTGGGGCAGTGAGGTTCATTTAATGTCGGGACTTAGGCTATTTTGGCTCATTTCTTTCATCTCTTAGGCGATTTTGGAGCTCTTTGAAGAGGGATTTTCACCTTAGCACTTTGAGGTAAGTAATTTCTATATGAGATGAGTTTAATACATGTTTTTTGGTTGATTATTAGCATATAATGTGTAGAAATTGTGGGTTTAGTTGAAAAACTTAGGTTTTGATAAAAATAGGATTTAACTACGAAAATGATTATGAAATTGGGTGAAAATTACATAATTGAGTTCTGAGATTATGGGTAACAATTATCTTCAAATATTTCCGAAATTCGGGCACGTGGGCTCGGGGGTGAATTTTAGGAATCTTCCAATTTGGGTTGGGTAATTACTCTAATAATTAACTTGTTATCTTTTGAGCGTATATTGATTAATTTATATAATATTTGGCTACCTTCGGATTGTTCGGCACCAAGTTGGGTCCTTAGAGTGAATTTGTGGCCGGAAAGTGAGCTTTGAAACGAGGTAAGTCTCTTACCTAACCTTGTAACAGGGAACTTACCCCCATAGGTGATTTAAATTACTAATTGCTCCTAATTATGGAGGCTACGCACGAAGTGATGAGAGTCCGTGCGTAGCAACTAATTATGCTTAAGTCCGGGTAGTTTAGGACCCAAATAAGGAAATACTTATAATGTTTGTACTCTACTTGTTAATTTAAGTACCTAAATTATATTGAAACTTGGTAAAAGATTCGTAAAGACCGAATTTCACTTACTTGAGTTTTGGCAGGTTACTTGACCATTAATAGAAATTGTACTTCTTTGTGTATTAGCTTTGCAATAGCTTTTAAACCGGATGTTCATAAAGTATTCTCTCTTCTTGTGGAGCGGGCCGAACGCCTTGGCAGTATAATAGATGCATCTATGGTTCGTGCTACTCGACCTCGGCAATGTACACGTTATTTTGGATTGGGCCGTACGACCTCAGCGTAAATCGTGCGTGTTAATGCTTGGAGCCAGAATACACTTGATATTATTTTTATGAATTGAGAGGTTATAATTTATTTATTGGCCCGAAATTTATTTGGAATTAGTATGTATTAGTTGAAGACTTTTGAAATTTACTATCTGTCAAAGAATTATTTAATCACTGCTTGTTATTGAGTTATTATTATTATTCACATATTCCATGCCTATTTAGCATTCCTGTAGTTTATTGTTGGCCCATAGTAAGTGTCGATGTTGACCCCTCGTCACTACTTCTTCGAGGTTAGACTGGATACATACTGGATACATGTTGTTTATATACTCACGCTATACTTCTGTACTAATCGTGCAGGATCTGAGGCAGGTGCATCTGGCAGTCATTCCAGCGCGCACCCCCGTTACCCCGAGGCCTAGTGGTGAGCTGCTTTTTGAGTCCTTTCTGCAGCACCCAGAGTCTCTCTTTTGCATTTACTTTCTGTCTACTCTACTTGAGACAGTAGCTTAGTGTTTTGTATATTCTATTAGTTGCTCATACACTTGTGACACCAGGTCTTGGAACACATGCTAGTAGACTTTATGGTTTTGGAGCATTTATTTCACTGCATTTGCTCTCTCATTAGCTTTCGCTTTACTCTATTAAATATTTTACTCCATATTTTCTTAATAAATGAAATTTAACTACTTGGAAATTTATTTAAAAAGAATAATTACATGGTTAGTTCACCGTTGGCTTGCCTAGCGGTGACGTTGGGCGCCATCACGGTCTATAGGAGAAATTGGGCCGTGACACATGTATTTTGAAATGTATTTCCAATGTATCATTAATGTATTCCAAGTACGTTTGTATATTCAAAGTGTATAGATTATTCTACGATATATATATATATATATATATATATTCTACAATGTGTAAAAAATGTATATATATTTTATACTAGCGTGCACACGAACTGCAATATAGGAAAACACTTGATAGATTTTTGATTTGTTATATAAAGTTGTATATTTTTTGTGTAAGTAATATTATATGTTGTATAATTTTTGTATAGTAAGATTGTAGTTATATAAATATATATTTTTATATATAGTGATCGCGTATAATTTGGATGTAATTTAATCGTTTTAATTTCGGTAATCAGAGAATGGGTAATCTTGCAAATGCTCTCAATTATAGTGGTTTTGTGAAGTTTTAATTATCCATCGATCACTTATAGCATGGTCACATCTTGAACTCATTTAGGAAAAGGAACAAATCAATTTCTTGGCATTATCTTTTTCATACTATGAATTTAAATGATATACTAATGTGTATAAAAAGAATGTAATGACCCAAACAAGTGTGATTATTATGTAAACGACACCTGTCCGTTTTGCCCCTTTCATCAGCTGATAAAAATCAACATTTATGACAAAAGTTTTATTTTTATATTCCTCACAAATATGTATAAAAATATCAATATCTAAATAGCATAAAACCCAAAAAGAATCGAATGATTAATGTTTTCCTATGAACAAATTAAGAGCCATCTCAATATTTTACCTTTCAATTCTCGTTCCCTTATTTCCCCTTGTGTTCCGTATCAGTTTGATTTGCTAATTTCAGCGGCTAGCCATTAGAATAAGTTTTGGGCTATAAAAATATATATTATAATTTATGGCTAGCGGCTGATATAAGTTTCCATTGGATGGCTAGTAATGATTTTTGAGAAATGTTTAGAAACCACTATTGTTTAGGGGCTATTAACTTCCTATAGCTACTATATACTTAATTACTTCCTATAGCTACCTTTTCAGTTGTTATGGTAATGTATTCGATGTATTCAATCTATTGTATTCATGAATACAATAGGAAAATTCGGCTAAAAAATAGGAAAACACAGTTGTACGTTTATGTATTCAGGTGTATTCGCGCTATGTATTTACGAATACAGTAACGGAAATCAACGTAAAAATATGTCCCTCCAGCTGTTTAAAAACAAAAATTGGATCAATTAACGTGATACACTCCTAATATAACTCAACAAACACCATTAAAATACGCAACATTAGCAATCCAATTTATGAGAAGATTCTGCAAACGTCAAACACAAAAAAACAGAGCCACCTTCAGAGTTTCACTCCTTTTTTTCCCTGGTAAAGTTTGATAATTTTTTTCCATTGATACTATTCGAGATTCTGCTTGGAAGTGGTACATGTAACCACAAAAATAGATGGCAAGTTTAATCGTCATAATTCGTCATTCTGGCAAGAACATTAAAAATTGCTATGTCGATTATTCGATTGATAGGATACTGATAAAAGAGTATGTGTCGTACAATGATTTAGTTGCTTCCATTCGAAGTAACTTGATATAGATTTGAGCTCAAAGCCAATTATAATTGAATACAAAGTGGAAGAAAATTGAACGCCTAATATTTTGTTGCATCAAACGGGTATTCTGTTGTATTCAAATGGTTGTGTTAACTGCATATTATATGTTGATGATATATGTTGCTACAGCTATATTTCATTGGTATTATTCAATGGTTTCGTTTTGTATAGGTAAACTTCATTGTATTTCACTGTATTTCACATATAAATATATTAATTTATTCACCTATTGCCTGCCTTTTTTATAGTAACACTAGTATATGTATTCTGTTATATCAAACGGTTGTTTTTAATGCATATTATATGTTGATAATACATGTTACTACAGCTGTATTTCATTGGTTTTATTTTTGTATTGACAGTATTTTAGTGTATTTCACTGTATTGCACAAATATATGTATCTCTTTAATATTCTGTCAGATAAATAGCGTTTGTATTCAGTGTATTTTAAATATTTTTTTCTTGTATACATATATAGTATATTTAATACATTTAGTCATTGACAGATACACGACTTGTATCAATGTCCACAACTTATACTTCTCTATTTAATGTAGGTTGTACCATCGACTGAACACTTGCACATGGTGAATGATGAAGGAAGGCATTACACTGTTTGCCTCCTAGAGAAAACTTGCAGTTGTGGGCGGTTCCAAGTTGACGAATTACCATGCCCACATGCTTGGGCTGTCTTGAAAAGCAAGTTTCTAATGCCGGAAAATTATTGCTCGGACTATTACAAACCAAATTCTGTTGTAATGACATACGAGGTACCGTTGTATCCACTGCCTGACCGAAGTGAATGGAATATACCAGCACATACATCAGAGGAAGTTGTCTTACCACCCAAATGGAAAAGACCTCCTGGAAGGCCAAAGAAGAAGCACGATAAGCCGTTAAGTGAATTGTTTTAGAAGAAAAATCAACATTCGTGTAGTATATGTGGGCAGGGAGGACATAATAAGCGTAGTTGTAGAAATACTCCACGTAGGAATTAGTTCATGTTCTAATTTTAATTACTACAATAACTATATGTCATAGATTTGTTCCATATTTTCTATTACATATTGATTTATTGGTGTATTGGTTGCTTACTGGATGAATTTTTTAAGTTTAGATTACTAAATTAAACGCTATTATGTTTCGTAGTATCTTTACAAAATGATTCATATACAGGTATGTGGTATAGAAGTTCATGTATTCATAAAATACATGAATGTACATTAAAAAAAAATTGAATACATATGTAATTCAATTCCAAATAAACTGCTGAAAAATTAATACAACTATGTGGAAGATTATACTAATACATAAATATATTAGAATACAAACATTTGAAAATAAAAAATAGAATATAATCACTGAACTTAGCTAAGTCTGAAAATATAATAAATACAGGAAAATATAATGAATACAACATAATGAATACAACACTGTTTATCATTTAACTACACTGGAATACAGTAAAATAAAAATATGCTGTGATGACCCAAAATTTATCATCTTTAAATTTAATAATTAATTCTGTGTTCTAAGATCTCGAAAAGCACTATTTATTATTTCTCGACTTGTGTGTGCAGTCCGTAAAATTTTTCGGAAAGTGTTTATGTGAAAAATGGATTAAAATGTGAATTAGAGCTTTAAAACTCAACTGAGTTGACTTTGGTCAATATTTTGAGCAAACAGACTCGGATCAGTGTTTTGGATAGTTTCGGTAGGTCCGTATCGTGATTTGGGACTTGGGCGTATGCCTGGAATCAAATTTTGAGGTCCCTAGCCTGAGATATGGAATTTTGATGAAAAATTAAAAGTTTAAGTTCAAATAGTGATCAGATATCGAATTATGTGCAAACGACCCCTGAATAGAATTTTGATGATTCCAACAGCTCCGTATAGTGATTTTGGACTTAGGAGCGTGATCGAAATTTTATTTGGAAGTCCGTAGTGAAATTAGGCTTGAAATGGCTAAAATAAAAATTTAAGTCTGGAAGTTTGACCGGGGGAGTTGACTTTTTGATACCGGAGTCGAAATATAGTTTCGAAAATTTTCATAGCTCTGTTATGTCATTTATGACTTGTGTGCAAAATTTGAGGTCAATCGGACTTGATTGATAGGTTTCGACATCGTACATAGAAGTTGGAAATTTTAAGTTTCAGTAAGCTTGAATTGGAGCATAATTCGTAGTTTTAGTTTCATTTTGTGTGATTTGAGATTTTAAATAAGTTCGTATGATGTTTTAGGACTTGTTGGTATATTTGGTTGAGGTCCTGAGGGCCTCATGTGAGTTTCGGATGGTTAACGGATCAAAAGTTGAACTTAAAACAGTTGCTGCAATTTTTCTCTTATGCTGGAAATTCTGGGCTGTGATCGGACTCCACATAATCGGACTCCACATGATCGGACTCCACATAATCGGACTCCACATGATCAAACTCCACATGATCGGACTCCAAATGATCGGACTCCATGATCGGACTCCATGATCAGACTCTATGATCGAGGTCAACCTGGACAGATTTGTAAGTTATAAAAACAGGGGCATTCGTCCCATTTGCCATTTTTGACGAACTTGAGCTTGAGCAGAGGCGACTTTTGACAGATTTTCAAGAAAAGACATTAGGGTAAGTGATTCCAACTCGGATTTGGTCTATATACACAAATATATCATAGTTTTCACCATTTAATTAATGTTTTGAGATTGAAATTTGGGAAATGTTTGAAATCTCATAGAAACGAATTTTTGAAATTTCGGTATCGATTCGGAGTCGGATTTGAGTAAAATTGGTATGGTTGGACTCGTAATTGACTGGGTTTTCTGATTTTGTAACTTTCGTCGGATTTTAAAATGTGGGCCCCACGATCGAATTTTTAATTAATTTCGGGATTTTGATTAAAAATGTAGTATTTTCTTATAGAATTGCTTCCTATAAATTTTAGTGATTGTATCAAATTATTTTTGGTTAGATTCGAGCCAATTAAAGTTGGATAATCGAGGAAAGGGCCTTCTAGTGGATTAAATTGGAGCAAATTGAGGTAAGTCTCTTGTCTAATATTGTGAGAGGGAAATTACCCCATATGTGATTAAATATTAAATACTTTTTGCTAATTGTGGGGGCTACGTACGCACGAGGTGACGAGAGTTCGCGCGTAGCTATTATTAAATACTAAAGTCCGGGTAGTTTAGGACTCAAAAACATGAATTACTTGTGTAAATTGTAGTCTTTACTTAATTAAATTATGTGATACATATATATATATATATATATAATGCGAATTGTTAGGGAAGATATTAAAGGATGAAAATCTCATATGCTTAAATTTTCTGTTTAAATTAATTAATTGTTAAGAGAAATTGTTCTTCCTCCTGAATTTATCTTATAATAAATATACTCTCATTCCGGACGTACATAAAAAAATGTCCTCCTTTCTTGTGGAGCGGGTCAAATGCCTCGGCAGGATAGATGCATATATGGATCATGCCGTACGTCCCTCGGCAGTGTGCACGACATTCTGGATTGGGTCGTACGACCTCGACAGAAATTGTGCTTAATAATAATAATTACACGATAATTTAATAGTTTATTGCAGCTTGCGAAACTAATTGATAAATTAAAAATCTTTGGAATTTAAAGAATTATTATTCCTGCTTGTTAAGGAATTATTGTTATTCCTGTAAATGAGACTAATTGATAAATCAAAAATTTTATTGGAATTGAAGGAATTTAATTAATATATTGAGAATTCTTGCATTTGAAGGGATTTAATTATTTTTACTGGTTCAATAGATTATTGTAAATTCTGTGAATCATGCTGATTTAAATATTCTAGTTTTATTTTAATTATTATTATTGACCTATAATGAGTGTCAAAGTGGGTCATCTCGTCTCTACCATTTCGAGATTGGGCTTGATACTTACTGGGTACACGTTGTTTACGTACTCATACTACACTTGCTGCACTTTTTGTGCAGGACCTGAGGCAAGTACTAGTGGGGGACCTATCGTCTTACACCCATGTTATCCAAGGGCATAGTGGTGAGCTACCTTTCTGAGCCGTTCTGCAGCTACCAGTGTCTCTCCTTGTATTTTTCATTCTGTCTATTTTTATTTCAGACATTATTTGAGGTTTTGTATAATCTACTAGATGCTCATACACTTGTGACACCAGGTCTTGGCACACACATTGGTAGTATTTGGAATTGTATTTTCTTTAGTTGGATTTAAGTTAATCGGTATCTTTTCTAATTTCTTAATATTGCTAGTAAAATAATAAAATTTCTTAGAAAATTATTCTGAAAATAATTGATATATGTTTAATTTATTTGTTGGCTTGCCTGGCTGTAGTGTTGGGTGCCATCACGACCTATAGGTGAAATTGTGTTGTGACAACATGGTATTAGAGCACTAGGTTCACGTAGGTCTCACAAGTTATGAGCAGTCCTAATAGAGTCTTGTGGATTAGTACAGAGATGTCTGTTCTTATCTTCGAGAGGCTATAGGGTGTTAGGAAACTACCTTTCTTCATATTCCATCGTGCAATTGATGTAGTACTAAATATCCTTCTCTTATTTTCTCAGAGATGGTGAGAACGCGCTCTAATGAGGTTCCAGACCAGGGAAGAGCTACTCCCCCATTTTCTAGAGGACGAGGTAGAGGCCGAGGGAGGGCTCCAGCCCGTGGTAGAGGGCGAGGACGTCCCAAGACTATTTCAGTTATGCCGCTAGTGGGTCCAGCAGAGAACCCCATTGTTGAGGAACATGATGAGGTACCTGTGGCAGAGCCAGCTCCGGTGGATTTCACATCTACACCGGGATTTCAGGATGTCGTGGGTCGTATGTTGCGGTTCATGGACAATATGACTTAGGCCGATTTATTTTTGGCAGACCCAGCCACATCTCAGGCGTGCGGGGGAGCACAGACCCCTATTGCACAGGCTCATGAACAGGAAGCTGTTGTATATGAGACCCAGGGTGCACTACCCGTGGGTGGAGCCCAGCCAGTGGCAGCAGCTACACTTGAGCCCAGGCCAGCTGTAGCCGCCGATCCACAGAAACTATTGGACAGATGGACTAGACTACATCCTCCTATTTTTGGGGGTGAGCAGCATGAGGATCCCCAGGATTTCATTGATCGGTGCAAGGATAGACTTTACAACATAAGGATATTGGAGTCTCATGGGGTAGACTTTTCTATTTTTCATCTAGAGGGCAGAGCCCGTAGATGGTGGCAGTCTTATGTTCTTGGCAGACCAGCATATTCTCCTCCCATAACTTGGGACAGGTTCACCCGTATCTTCCTGGACAGGTATATTCCACCCTCCCAGAGGGAAGAGTTGAGGTTTCAGTTTGAGCAGCTCCAACAGAGTTAGATGTCAGTGACCAATTATGAGGCGAGATTTTCTGAGTTATCTCGCCATGCACTTATGATACTCCCTACTGAGGCGGAGAGAGTGCGGAGGTTTGTTGCGGGTTTACATACTGGCATTCAGGCCACTATGGCTCGAGAGGTTGAGATGGGTACTTCTTATGAGCTAGTCGTGGAGATAGCCCGCAGGATTGAGGGTGTACGTCAGTGGAGCTAAGTGAAGGTTATGAGAGATAAGCGGTTCAGGTATTCTGGAGAGTTCAGAGGTGCTCTGTCTGTGGGCAGAGGTCAGTTCATGAGAGGGCAGTCCCGCAGGACCCCAAATCCAGCACCACCGCCTCCTCGGGGTGCTCCGGTGCAACCTTATTTCAGTGCTATACCAGAGAGTTCTTATCGCCCACCAGCTATTCAGGGTCCTCCCAGTGGGTATTCAGTTCCCTAGGGCCAGACTCTTAGTCAGCAGCCCATCGCACCGAAGCGTTGTTATGAGTGCAGGGATCCCAGTCATATACAGAGATTTTTCCCCAGGCTTCGGGGTAAGCTAGTGCAA